TACCACAACACATTGAACCAAAAACTGCCGTGCCAATTAGAATAACATCTTCAACACCTTCTATGTTCTATGAGGATCAATAAACACTGATGATCAGAGACAGCTGATCAGAACAAAACAGGTTTTCAAGGTTAAATATCAAGAAGTGGTGGCTAGGCAGACTGTAAGGCCACAAAGTATGATTTGTCAATTTAAAAGAAAATGGGATCATTTGCTTCCCTGATCAGGGAGACATCTGATAAGAACAGTTACTCATTCCTAAAGAGAGAATTGCTCAGTAGACATTTAAAAGGAAACCTTAAATTTAGTCAAGAGGCACAATAATATACAAATAGTATCTGAAATCTTACTCTTAAAAAAGTGTGTGATTAAGCCATGAGTATACCCAACATACAGGATCAGCACTTTTAAAAAGTTTTTTTTAAACTCTTAGGACTTATAGATCACAAAGCGCAGCTTCCATGTCAAAACAGGCAAGACAGTTTAGTTAGTTTCTGGAACATTCTGAACATCCATCTTCTCTTTTTTATAGACAAACACAGGTTAACAAGGTCCAATTTGCAATGAACACATTTTCCAGTGTCCCTTTTCTTAAAATGAGACAAACAAGCTACTGTAGTTGCTAAATTGCTAACTTGCTGGTCAATCTGCTATTCCTGATAAGAATTTGTATATTCATTCTTTCCAATATTCATAGAAAGATACAACGGGAAGTCGAATTTGCACATAAAATAAAATGCAACTTAATCATATTTAGACATAAAAGTACACTGTAGTTCTAATATAAGCTTTCTCATAATTTTTTCAAAACCATCATGACAGAAGATGTAAACCAGGCACCGCAACATCTTCTATAGCGTTGTTTTACCTTCAATTCTGCTAATTTGAGTATTACTTCATCAACATCCCAAAGTATGCATAGCACTGAAATAAATCTGGGATATTACACTCTAGAGACTTAATATTCCTTTTGCTACCACATTAAATTACCATAGCTTAATATTTTACAAATTAATTCAGAATAAAAATTCTCAAAATAAAATATCTCCATCCTTGCATTTTTACGTAGTGAAAATACGTTTTAATCCAACATAATAGCATCTCAAGTTTTGTTGTCTGGCTGTCTAATTAGCAGAGGAAACTCACAAACACCATCAATATCAAAAATAAACCACTCTCTAGATCTGCAGTGTATACAATTGTAATGACCTCTCTAGGACCTTGTCTTTTAAACATTAATTCTTTCAAACATGCAAACTAAATAAAACCAAAAAAACTCCCACAGAAAATTATTAAAACTAAAATGCTTATATGAAGAAAATTATCTGCCTAAACACCACCCTTCACAATACGTGAATGAACAGCTCATGATTTTCTGAAAAGAGTTTAACCACTGCAGTTTCTTCATAGTGTATATTTATCTGGTTAGAACACTTCTCAAAAAAATCAACAAATTTGAATCACTTCCAGCAACAGTCTTCCTACTTTATTTTTGATACATGTGGACACAGTGCAGAAGACACTGAATAAAATGAAAAGCCATATGTAGAATAAAATTTTAAGTGCACTACATAAAAATTAAAAGACAATGTTTTGCTCACAGAGCATCACATATATTGAAACTGGCTTTCCTACACATGATATCATGAATTACTAATTTATTATAAAATCAAAGCATTCAAACAGTGAGTGCAGAAATCAAGCATGATGTCACTCTTACACTACTTCTAGAATTCTAGAGGTTAAGGTAAATGTAATTAGCTATGACATAAAAAAAAAAAACAACCGACAAACAAAAACCCAAAAATTATCTTTAAAGAGAAAATACTTGTCTTTTAGAAGAACAAGGCGGGAAAGTCTCACAAAAAGTCTTCTACAAATGTGGGAGACATGTAGGTATATGCACAAAGTAGTATAGCTGATACTGGTTTACTTCCTGTCTCTCCACAAATATTACAGGTTTTGAATTCAGATAAAACTGTTTGAATTTTTCCAATGTCCACAGTCCGTGTTTTTTGCAGTTACTCTTAGATCTAGACATTGACACCATTTTTCTTTATTTATGGGCCAACATTGCTATTTCATTGACCATCAAACAGTGTATTTGTTGATTTAGAGAGAACATTTTATCATACCAAGCTGCTGTATTTCATCTAACAGTAAGCCAATAAAAACAACTGAATTTCCCAAGTTAGTCATAATACTCTGAGGGATTTCTTTTGTTTGAACAGTTAATCCCTAGGACAACACAAATTAAAAAACAAAGTGGAGATTGTTTTACTGATCATTTTGGCACCCACCATTATCACATTTCTCTTTGTTTATCCATCATATTTTTTTCTGGTCAGCAAATGGAGTTTTCAGTTTTAAATAAGAGATTCAGCTTTAAACAGGAAATATTCAGACATAGTTCTTATATAGGTCAGTAGTAGTTTATAATAAATACATGTGCAAGATGAGCTCATGTTAAGCTTTTAATTCCCATATGACTACCTTACAATTCTGAAATGGATTATAAAGATGGGGCACACTTACATAACGTTTTAACACTGTTACTTCCAAAATCAAATTCTTTAAATATTGTCTTTAAAATGCTCTTCCTAACTACTGCCCTTCACAGCTGATTAAAGAACATGAAGAAATGAGGAAACAAACAGAGCAGCAGTCCAAAGAATTACTGTGAGATGTCCCTGCACTGGGCCAAAGACCAAAATTCACATTGCAAGAACAGCGATGTTTGCCATGGAATCACACAGCTTGTTTCCCCACTGCTGCTTCCTGTCTTCCACTAATATCTGGGATTTCACTTGGCAGGACTGGTTACAATGGCTCTGTGACACTTCTGTGCTCCCAAAGGATCATTTTTTCCAAGACATTTGGGAAATTTTTTGACCGCATATATGGTAGCCAAGGGACTTTCAATCCTGACTGCTCTGGCTCCGCTAATGACTTTGCTTCTAATTATCCCTAATTATGGCACTGCAACCATACAAACCATGCAGCTTCTTCCAGTGCAAAAAAAGCCAACACATACTTTCTCCAAAAGCTTGCAAAACTAAAATTATCTTTCAATTTAAGAGAATCCCGCAATGATCCCCATCAAACTTCACCCACAGACTCCAATCTGACCCCAAGATCATTCCCACACCATCCTGCAGGTTCAAGTCAAATCAAAACTATGTTGTGAACCTTTCCAAAGAAAAGGGTCTGAAACAAACAAGGGAAAGACATGACTTCTTGGTTCAGGTGCAGGAGCAAATACACCTGAGGAATGAACCTATGGTTTCCTAATAGAACATGATTTAAAAAAAACCCAAACAAAACTATTAAGACTGAACAATCTCTTCTCCACCCATCCCCCAAAGTGAAAAGAAACATACTGAGTTTGATATTTAGGTTGGAGTTTTTTTGGCATTACGTTCCTTATATGTAGAACAGAACTTTGCAACAGAAAAAAATTAGACCTCTACTCTGGGTACGTTCATAAGCACAGAGGAGTGCAATAGAGCCACTTTCTGTCTGGTGGTCTGCCAGATTTAAAGAACATAAAGCCATTCTACATGCCAAATTAATGCCCTAGAGTCCAGCTTGTACAGCTGGACTGTCTTTAGGTCACTGGAAATTTAATTATCTGCACAAAACCTAGAAAAACCTCAACCAAACAACCAAAACACCCCTATATGGATGAAGAAGGGGGAAAAAACATATTTTTAGTCTTCTTTTGTAAAACAAGCAGGAAGATCATCTTGTCCCTGTTCTTCCCTTTCTTATTTTAGACTGCACTGACAGGGAGTGGAAGGGAGTTACTGAAAAATTTGTTGTAATATTATCTTAAAAAAATAATTTAAATAACAGAACTAGTTTTCAGGCATGGAACTCAGCAAATAAACTTTTTTTTCTGTAGCTGCTAATGACAACCATTTCAAGTAGCTGATGTAAAAGACTACAATTTCCTTTTAATTTAGGTAGCAAAGCCATTTTCACTTTACACTGCAATGAAAGAATTAAATGTATCTGTTTTTCAAGTGTTCCAGAAAGGAGAATTTTTCTTTTCACAGTGAACATAGAGTCTACATGTTGGAGGAGAAGAAAACTAAGTTCAAATATTTTTAATTTCTATATTAATCAAATTACCATATTTTAAAAATTAAAAATTGGTTGTAAAGGATCAGTAAGTCTGTCACAAAAGACTGGGAAGCAAGGAGATGGGAGAAAAAAATGTTGCTTCATATTTAGAATATGCCTACCCTATATAGGCGTATACACAGAAATGCAAAAAATTTCTGAGCCCTTCTAAACTGAGGTACCAAAATCAGACTGGTTTTGCTAGCTGCTAGCAAAAAGGAGCAGAATTTGTCAGCTTAGGAAGAGCACTGCCTTAATGCAGCTCTAAGGCTTGCAGAATTCTGCCTTGTTCAGTATCACGGATCATACAGATGCAGCTGATGGCGTATCTTCCTGATTAAAATCCATCTAAATTTCACTTGAGCCTAGTGTTTGTTCTTGGATGGGTGGCTCTGAAGGCCTACACTTAGCCAACAAACACCAGCAGGAACAGATCTGGGTGAATTTTTTTAGTATTAATTTAGACTTTGGGAAAGACTGAAGAACTTGTGGTTTTATGTTACAAGGAACTTCTCCTGTTGTGACCTTAAATGCTGTAGTTATAGTAAACCCCCAAATTTTTAAAATTACCTGAAAACACTGAAAACCTATAGTGTTTCCCATGTTTTCAAGAGCTGAACAATACTTGCTTTGTCAGCGCTCTGGACTTCCTGCTAGGAAGTATGGTAGCACTAAAATGATAGTGCTTATCACAGCATGCTGGGAGCTGTTTTTAGAAAACATTTTTGAAATTAAAAAATACTAACAAAGAAACATAGCTTTGATAGTTTTTTTCTTTACACAGCCTGGAAAAGGGCTTCCATAGGAATCTAAAAGCATAGAAAACTCTCTGGGCAGTTCCCAGAAACCCCACACGGGCACAGAGCTTGCAATACCTTCATAGTGGACGCCTCGGTTTCCAGTTTTGTGAGGTGATTTGAGTTATCCTCTAGCTCTTGCCGAAGGTTGGAGTTCTCCATCTTTAATGCCTCAACTTGCTTTAACAATTGATCATATGAAGCTGCGGCCATCCTGGGCTACCCTCAGCCCTTAAAAAGTAAGAGAAAATATTAAATTTAAGCATATTAGAAAAAAACCCTTCACTACCCCAATGTATCTAACCACAAAATCATCTCTCTCCCATTTACCACATGGCTTTCTAAACATTTAATTTAAATACATTATACCAAACTGTTAATGGCTAGAACTAACGCCAGATGAAGACTTTTTTTTCCTGTGGCCTTCCATTTGGTATGCATGATTAATCAAATGAAAAAAGTTTGTCAGATGCATCAGATATTAGAAGAAGCTATAATACAAGAAAGAAAATCACTGCATCACACAAAAGCATCTTTACTACTGGAACTTCAGTTTCAACATGGAGAAACTGCAGATAATAGACCATATGTAGTAATTTTTGGATAGATAACAAGCATCTTCACACATATCCAAAAGATGCTGACTGCCTACTTATTTTAGGAAACAAATGGTAGTCACAGATGTTCAGTGCTCCTAGAATAGCACACACTCTGAGGGAGATGCTACATGAAAGGAAAGCAATAAGTATTGGGGAATTTTAACTGAAAAAAACTCCACATCATCAAATGTAATAAATATGTAGATATTTTGTAAAAATACCCTTCAAGGCACAAGATTAAAACAAATTTATTTCACACAAAGTGGTCATATTGCACTGTTTAATTTAAAGATGAAAGGCTACTCTGGATATCAAGGCATCCCATACTGTTTTCAGTAAAACTGTAACACAGTCCCAGAACACCACATACTCAGCCATTATAAAGAAGAAACAAATACTTCCATTTCAATTATAAACTACAAATTGTTCCCCACTTTCCAAACCAAAAGCCAGCAGAGTTGTTAATCTAACAACATAAGTTAACTAAGACGTGGCTAATGAATGTTTGAAGCCCTTTAGAATTAATGCTATCCATTTCTTATTCATCAGCCATTCCAGAGGAAAAAAGGAAGCCTAGCACTCCATGTAACACAAGTTACCCTTCCAATGTAATTGCAGACATTTCCTAAGTATGTGGCCTGTAACTCAGAGGAAAAAAAAAAACCCATAAAAAAACGTACAGGGCAACATTTGCTTTCATTGTTACTGCAGTACTTCTGAAAAGGTGAAACAATTAAAAGCAGTCATTTAGCATTTTCATTGTAACCTCTGACCAAACTTTGACCTTACTGCTTGTTTAACCCCTAATAAAATCAACTGTCCTCTTCCCAATGAAACTCAATTAAATTATCCAGTCTACTAAAAATTAGTAAAATTATTACTAAAAATTAGTCTACTAAAAATTATGTAAAATTATTCAAAAGTGGTTTAGCTCCTCAGTACAAATTTTGAAAATTGTGTTTAACCTTTCTAAATTTAAACTGAACAAAATACAAAGAAGAGTGTACACCACTGAAGACAGAAACAATAACAAAAACTGTAGTGCATTTGATATGACTGGTTCATTTCCTTTCCAAGCACCTGCCACCAAAGACAGGAGCAGGAAGACACCTGACACTTATCAAATCATCACTTCCATGAATGAAAAGAATCTGCAGCATTTATTTTTCAAAATCTGGTGATGCTTTACTGAAGACCTCATTTTTGAGACATAAAGGCAATCTGAAATAAATGCTCTACAATGTGAATCCTGTGATTTTACCATCAGGCTGTTTCACCTAGAAGGTTGAGTCTTGTCAAGTAGAGCTGCAGCAAAACCAAAACAAACACACAAACACCAAAACATCAGTCAGGGCAAACTGCTTCTGTTACATTTAATGTATACTTTTATCTATTAAGTAACAGTTTCCACTATTATTAAGAAAATTAATAGCTATAGTTCGCATTTCAGAACACTGCACACACAAGCTCAAGAAAAGGCAGACAGAAGTGAAGAAGAATGGAAACTTTTTCCCATTAATTTTCATGAATTAGTACAATATAGTAATATTGATAGTTTTCACTGATGCTGATCAGTAAAATCTATCACATTTATTCATCTACATGTGATTTACAGAAGCTGTTCCATGCCACATAGGACATGCATTTTGTTTCTAGATAGATAAGACCATCTTTTTGTCCCACTGCTATAATTCATTACTAATATGAAAGGACAGGTAATAACAAAAAAGTATCCAGTTTTTCCATTTCCTGTCAATTTTTAGGAATTCTAACCTACAGACTTTAAATTTTGAACCATCAGCCCCACTTACAAGATGTACACATACAACAAAGGAAATGGAGAAAAATGGATGAGGTGGGGAGCTATGGTAGAAACACATAAATTACATAGCTCTGGTACTTTATATGCATAACAAACTTAGGTATATTTTTACTAAATATAATATAAATGATCCTGAATGGGAGATTGCGTTTGGCTTTCCACCCTTCTGATATAAGTTCCTAAGCTTCCTTTATTCTTATAACATGAAAGCAGGATGTCACCACTAAGAGACAGTATCCTACCTCAGACTAGGACTCACCCCCTGATTATACAAATGTCAAGCTTTTTGGGTTTTCAGATAAAAAAAATAGCTATATGATTATCACAACCAGGGTAACCCAAAACTTTTTTTTTTTTTTTTAGTAAACAGATGCCCAAAGGAAGCAACACTGCCACCACAGCTGTGACAAGAGATGAACAGAAAAACTATATATATAAGGAGCAATGCAAAGACATCAAGATGACACAGGGCACTGCTGAAAGGCAAATTATTGGGCTGGAGGCAGGCTGTCAGCAAAGTTCCCCAAAAACTAGACTGTGACAGGCATTTTTAAATGTTTCATTATTGACTTTGGCACAAGAAGTGGCATCAAAACTTGCTCCTATAAATTCAAGAGGTTGCACAAGGTCAGAGGACTCCATGTCATACACAATGAATTTGATGAACTGAGAAATAAAGCAGTAGAAACAGGGTAGAATTGCAGAGCATAGTGACACAGGGTCACTGACAAAGGAATCTCAACCTGGAGCAGTGAAGCCTCTCAGAAGTCAGCCTGCAGGGCACAGTGTGCTGCCAATGAGACTGGCACAAGGAGAGCAAACACCATCCATACAGTTATCAAATCTTTTTACAAAGAGATGGATAAGAAAAGTGAGTTTAAGTGGTTGCAGAGAAAGATGTGATCAGGGGATGAGAGAGTATCTCAGAAGAAATTAGACAAGCAAACCTTGGCTGCCTTGGCATATCAAAGGCTGGAATGACACAGGCATGCTTTGTTATTAGGGAGTGAAAAACACTGAAGAGGGAGAACAATATTTATGTTAAAACACAATACAAACCCAGAACAAATGGGTGTAAATCGGTCATTTATCAACCTAGGCTGGCAACATCTATTAGAACTTGTAGTTCAGCAGGATCCTTGCCAAGCATAGTACACAGGAAGGAGCCAGACTTCATGGCTCAAGAAATCCAGTCTTGTATTCCTAAACTTCAATACAGACAAACACTGTACTTATTTTTGATATCTCCAAGATACTTGCTGATTCTTCTCCTGAAATAATGTAATGCCAAAGTATTTCACAAAATATACCATTATTTAATTTTAAAACCGGGGAAACTGACAAACGTAATGTATGACCACAAAGCAGCTTAGGCTTTCTGATGGTGAACACTGTGTCATCTCTCAAGCACGTGATTTGTAGAGTGAAATCACAGGGCTCCATTACACATAAGCTGTTCCATGTATGAGATAAACCCCTCAAAATTAAAATCTGCCTCTCTTCTGAAAATACGTTTTTACCAACTACCTCAAACTTGACACAACAGATGAGAATTCAGGTCCCAAAACAATCCTTGGAATTATACTCTGAGTAAAAAAAACCCCAAAACTTATAAATTAAAAATAATATCTAAATTATATATTATAGGTTTTCTAAACACACAACCATCAGTGTAAATAGAAAGTGACTGTACCATTTCATTGCCTTCTTGAAGTTTCTCTGTGGTTAAATTACTTGCCTTGAGGAAAGAGTTAAACTCTGGACCCTCTTGGCCAGACAGGTTTCCTAGCCACAACCCACCTCATTTGGAGCAGAATTAACCAGCCCATAGAAAAACAAGGAACACCTCAGACACGGCCCACTAATCTGAAGCTCTACCATGGCACATACAAACACGTTCAACACCACTAGTGTCAGAATCAGCTGGATCAAAAATAAACAGCCCTTGTTTCCCCCTGTAGGAAACCACCACAGTGAGGGAGAACAGAAGAGAAGGGAAGAACTCTGACCTCCAGAATCCATTTCACATTTCACCCAGCCCAAGGGAAAATTCATCATAACCCACTTTTGTGAAATTCACTATTATGCTTCAAGTCAAGCTCCCTTTTACACTCTTCAGTGCACTGTTTCTTCACAAAGTGGTCATCAAAGGCAAGAATAGATCCTGAGTTCTCTAGATTTACTTTGATAAAAAACTATCTTGGAATACAGAAACTTTGAAATTCAGTACCCTCATGTAAAAGACACCCAAAATCTAGCCGTGCTACTTCCATATTTCTCATCATTAAGAAGCTTCTTCTCCATCTGCTACCAAAGTAAGGTGAAATTGTGACAAGAAATTTCATGCTTTACTGAATCAGCACTTTTCATGAATATACATATCGAAGAGGAATTTCAAGCTAGATAGAACTCTTTTATGCACTAAAATAAAAATTAAAGAGAAGCCTAAATTTATGCAAACCTACTGTTAAGATTTAGATATGCATTTTCCTATATTAAGGTAACTGTATAAGTAGCCACTGCCCAGACAGTGCCCATTTTGATCTCAAAACCCAAGTGATAGGAAAAAATGTAATGTTGCCTGAAAACTTAGAATTTCTTAATTGATCAGAGCCTTCTTCTTTGAAATCTGCTAGCATACATATATACGCAATATGCCCTGAAGAGGTTCTACTTAAGAACCCCAACAACTTGTCATATATTAAATCTCCTTATGAAAATATTTCAGATACCTATTATTGCTTTTATCCATAAAATTTATCAACACTACCATCACATTCTACAGCCACCAAAAAAGCAGATTTACTCCT